TTTAGCCTTGAACTTATGATCCTCCTGCCTCTAGCCCCAGGTAGCTGAGATTACAGGCATAAACCACCACATCTAACCAGGGCTTCTACATTTTTTAAAATGGTTACCTATTAAATGGTTATATAAGAATATAATCACCTTTGTTTGGAATCTTGTCCAGTAAAATCTAACATATTAATTATCTGGTTCATTAAGGAAAAGTGCTGATCCTTGGTCTACACAGTTCACCTGGCAATTCTTCAAACCTTGACAGCTGCTGTGTGCCTAACTCTGGATTGCACAGTGGAAGAAGCTTAATCTCAAGGTGCCCAATGGGACAGGGGAGACCAGATCACAGCAGGGGTGCACAGAGGCTCCATGTCTGCCACAGCCCTCAGTGTAGATGCAGTTAAAGTGTCCTTCCTATGCCCCTAGTCCTTCAGTCCCTCACAAGTCAGCCAACTCCGGGGAAGCCAATAGCTTACTATTGTCCCTTCTTTCACCATCCAAGCTCATCTTCATCAGAAGCAGTGAACAGGGGTGGGTTTGCCAGAGACAGTGTAGCCCTCACCTCCCAAATCCCACCTTGTCCAAGCAGAGTCTCAAGAAGCCCCCTCTCTGCCCCTCACTCCTCACCTGGCCAGGCTCACTTTTCCAGGTACCCAGACCAATCAAGGGCATCTTCTGCCCAGTGTGCAGGAGGACACAGGAAGCCGCCATCACCCCCTAAAACACAGATGGGAAGAGAATGAGGGACCTAGTGATAATCCTTAGATCTTCAATTATCCAATGATCAAGAAACCTGCACAACAGCCAGGGTTTGATCCCTGGTGTGCCATGCAGGCCCCGCCCCCAGGGCATGCTGAGTCAGGATTGAAACTGGGCTGGGTGGTGCACACCTGTAATCCCAGCACTTGAGAGGCTGAACACAGGCCGATCACTACCAGTCTGATCTACATAGTGAGACCCTGTAGACCCTGTAGCCCCTTACTAAAATACAAGAAGAAGAAGAAGAAGAAGAAGAAGAACAACAACAACAACAACAACAACAACAACAACAACAACGAGAACAACAACAACAACAACCCTACATAACAGATCAGAAAGTGGGTAGAAAAGACACATATGGGGAACAAACATGGTCGTGTACTTGTATGCGGAGGTAGTGGAACCAGGTGCCTGAAACTAACCAAAGCCACTAGTTCCTAAACAAACTACCAGGACTAACCATATCACCAAGCTACATACAGTCTGTGATAAAGAGCTCCAATAGGTGGTACAGGGGGTGCAGTTCAATAGTACAGATCTGGCCTAGAATGCACAAGTCCCAGGTTCAATTAAACATTGCAAAACAAGAACAAAATAAAAGAGCTCCACTCTCTAAAAGTCCAAGGCAAGGTGGCTCCCAGAACCACCTGTCTTCACTAAATAAGGTCTCAAGCCAGTGCAAGAGAGTCAAAGGCCAAGAGGAGACACAGACGAGGTGACAGAATAGGCCCAGAAAAAGAACCACTGCTGTGAATTGAATGTGCCCAGGAATTGTCAAGATGCCAGACCCTCCCATCATTGAACAAAGGCTGTATCAGCCAAGCTGGGAACTGGGCTCATACCAGGAAATACACGATTTATCATTTTCTGGTTGAGAAGACAGGCTCAGAGGGTAAAGTTACTTTTCTCCAGATCAATAGCTAAAGTGGCAAACCAACCATTGAAGGAATAGAAACAGGTAAATATAGACCTTTGAAAATATATGCCTTTCAACATGTACAGCAACATGCTACAGAAAAGAAAGCAAATTCTATAAGCAAGAACCAATGAGGTTCATTCCAAGAGGCAATGAAGGAAATATAAGCTTTCCTCTTCATCTTATCAGTACCATAAATATGAAATCTCCTGGCACTGATTTTATTGCCAATAATTCTTTTACAAATATGACCTTTGTTTCCAAGTTTTGAAAGACATAGTATAGAGCATGTAATAGCACAAGTTGTAAATCAACCAACACATCAAAAATGACTTTCCTAATATTTCTGACCCCAGTAAGAATTTTTACAATCTAAAATAACCTCATCATGCAAACGATTCTGCTAAGACAAAAACAAAACTCTTCAAGGTGGGCAGCCAACCATATACTGCTTAGGACAACAGTCTGTAACCAGAACTTTACAGGGATTGAGTGTGTCTGGACTTCACAGGAGATGCTACTGCCACTCAGGTCTCTGAACAGGTTCCTGGGCTTGATGTCCAAACCACTGGCTGCTGACCTCTCCCAGAGTTCCCATAGAGCCCACAGAGGGCTCTGAAATTACACCTGGGCTGGGAGCTTAAACAAAAGCCTGGCTCACAGGGAAAAGGAAAAGAAGCTTGAAGCTTATTTCTCTCTCTTTTTTTGCAAG